ATAGTGACTCAATTAATTGCATCAAATAATTGCGTCAATTGCATCAAGGATCTATGAATTTCAGCAACATGTATAATCCAAATTAACAGAAACACAAAGAAAAAAGGAAGCACATTTATCCTTACAACATCATATCAATTAGGAAAAGAAAACCAGCCATCATCTTCACAAACTTCTTCCACCAACAAAACTGTCTTATCATTAGAGTCACGCAACAGGACTTCAAGTCAAACAAATGTCAATATAACTACCAATCAAATATCTCAACCAACCATAAAAACTGGTTAATCAGAACCCAGATATTACTTAATAAATCGTCAATCAAATCCATCAAACTTGCCAACCAATCAGCTACAGTCAATTGCACAGGATCTATATAAGGAGGATCAGTCAATGTCTATCGACTTAGATTTTCCTATACCAGAAGACATAGATATGGGCAATGTTATAAGCTCTTATACTTATTAAGAAACTGGAAAAGAAAACACTCCTAGTGCAAATTCTGTGAATTCCAATAGTTGCCAAAGAAGAGAAAAGACCTCTGATGATTGTTTCTCAGACATTTCAACTATTTCTTACTCAACCAACATTTCTAATCAACATAATAACCCTATTCTCAATACTCTACACTTCTCTTCACCCATACTTCCCAACTCTCAACCTTCAAAACAACAACAAAAACCAGAGAACCCACCAAGCGAAAACTCTAACAAGGGAAAGCTTGAAACAACATACAAAAGACTCTGGTCATATGAGGAGGACTTAATCATAAAATACTCAGGAATAGAGGATTATGATATATTAATCAACACCAATCTTGAAGAAAATGATCAATATATCCCTGACAAACTTATTACAGAACACTATCGCATTATCAGCTGGGCATCCAAATTTAACACCATCAGAGATAACTCAACAGAGCTAATTAATCTCCTACTAGATATTAATCAACAACCCAAAAACAAAGTCAGACAAAAATCTCATCTAGCCATTTTTATCAAAATAGAAGCGAGAGACAGAGGATTTTTTAATTTTAGCAAAACCAACAAACTTAAAGAAGATCATCAGAAAGAATATAAAAAACTGGATGGTCAGTTTCAAAAAATCTACAAAACAAAATACAAAGTTACTGAACTCAATAGAGAAGTCCACTCCAAGATCAAGCTTCTTTTAAGCTCCAGCCTTTT